TAGATAGATAGATAGATAGATAGATAGATAGATAGATAGATAGATAGATAGATAGATAGATAGATAGATAGATAGATAGATAGATAGATATAGAGTTATAGTTATATAAGATTTACGGGTACAGATAAAGGACATACAATGGATATGTAAAAGAAGTATAATGTGTTGCAAAGATTGAGAGAGTGAGAGAGTATAAGAGAAAGAAAGAGAGAGAGAGAAAGAGGGTAAGAGAAAAAGAGACAGATAAAGAAAGAGGGAGAGAAGAAAGAGAAAAAGAGAAAGAATGAGAGAAAAAAGAGAAAGGGGAAGAAAGAGAGGGAAAGAGAGAAAAAGACAAAGAGAAAGAGAGGAGAGAGAAATGAGGAGAGAGAAGGAAAGAGAAAAAGAAAGAGGGAGAGAGAAAAAAAATGAGAGAGAATGAGAGGGAAAGAAATAGAAGAAGAGAAATAGAGAGAAAAGAGAGAGATGGAGAAGAGAGTTGTTTAATTAAACTATGATTAGATCTGCTAGATCTATTTTTTCCTCTGCTGAGATACACACCCCATGTAACAATTGCTTCCCCCCCCTCCTCTCTTCTCTTCCAACAGCCCCCAGACTCACAAAAACAGGGGCGTCCTCCGTCTCGCTGATGGCGGCTTTCATCATGGCCACCACGTGCTCGTTGGTGATGACTTCCTGCGAGGGGGGGGGGGAATTAAAGAGTTTCTCAGCTTGATGACTTCCAAGCCAGGAAAAGCCGCTTGCTGAACCAACCCCGTGAGTCGGGGATGGGGAGGGAATCAACCACAGGTAGTCCTCGACTTACGACCATCACGGCGCCCCAAATCTCCCTCGCAAAGCAACGGAAAGGGAAGGCTGGCGACCGTGGGTGCCACGGTTTTAAAGGTATCGCTGCAGCCGTTAAGCGAATGATGCGGTCGTTAAGCAAATCAGGCTTCCCCTATCGGCTTCTGGTTCAATGGAAGCTTGAGAAGACTGCAAAGAGTGATCACACATGACCTGCGATCGTCGTAAGTTGGAACACGCTGGTGGTCGAGCATCCAAATCTTGACCAGGAGGACGCTGACCAACGGTCACGAGGAAACCGTCCTCGACTTACGACCACAACTGAGCCCAGAATTTCGGTGGCTAAGGGAGCCGCTTGTCCAGGGAGTTTTGCCCCCATGTTATGAACTTTCCTGCCACGGTTGTTAAGCGAATCGCCGCCCTTGTTAAATTAGCCATACGGTCGTTAAGCAAACCTGGCTTCCCGCCATTGACTTCCCTCGTGAGAAGGTCACAAAAAGGGGAATCACGTTGACCGTCGTAAAGGCGAGTCCCTTGCCAAGCGCCTGGATTTCGATCACACGGCTAAGCCGCAACGGTCATTAAGTGTGAAAAACAGTCAATTTCAGTGGCGTTGTCACTCAACGAATTGCGGTTTAAGTCGAGGGCTACCTGTGTTAAGTCATCTTTTTTCCCCCCGGGGCTGTTCTAACTTTGAACAATCGCTAAATAAATCGTTGTAAGTCGAGGACGACCCTGTTCGCGGCCCCATCCCATCAGCCGCCGCCCGCACTTACGTGAAGGATGTTGCGTACGTTGACAGCCGTCAAATTGTGCTGCTTCGCCCCGTCTTCCAGCGTCCGGTCCAAGGTTTCGTCCAGTTTGAGGTCACAATCTAAAGTCCTTCCTCCTCCTCTTCCTCCTCCTTCGTCTTCCTCGGATGACTTCCCTTCCCATTGCCTTTTAACTCCCTTCCGCCTGGGTTTTTTCCCTCCTTCTCGTTCGTCTGCAAACAGAGGGGGGGGGGNGACAGGAGGGCAGCCGAAACCTTGCTGGGGAAGGGGTCCTTCTCATATCCCACCACCCCTAGGAGTAATGCCTTAACCCCCTCTCCTGCCCACAGCGTCGTTTTCTGGGGACCGAGCGATGCAAACTCTTCCACCATTCACTATAGGGCCCGAAGTGAAGATTGAGGATTTGGGTGAGTGTCCACATACCTTTGGCCCGGGAAAGTGGGGTGGAGGGGCTGGGATTTCTCTCCCCACCTTCCAAAACATAGCATCCTGCCTCCCTACGGATTGAGTCTCTTGTTGGAAGAGGCTGAGGGATCTCCCAAATTTTGGAGGCTCTCTAGGACAACTCGCCGCGGCGAACTTCCTACGGCCAACTCGCCGCGAGACAAATCAACGCTGTTTTAACAGAATAACAGAAGTTGGAAGGGACCTTGGAGGTCTTCTAGTCTGACCCCCCCCCCTGCTCCGGTCGTTTCAGACCAATGGTTGTCCAACCTCTTCTTAAATATATCCGTGGTTGGACCAACCCGCAATTTTAATCGTTTCATGCTGTGATTTTCGATGATGACGTTTTTGTTGAAATCCTTGTACCGCTTTGTCCAGGGGTGCGATCGAAAAATGTCATCAACCGGTTCTTGGCCCGGTTGCTAGGTGGGTGTGGCCAGGGGGCGTGGCCTACTCAGCCTCCTGCACCATGGTGGAGTTGGGGGGGATTTTCATCCTTCCGGGCTCGGGGTTTTCCTCGACCCTCTGGAAGGGCGAAAACAGGCCCGTTTCCGGAGTTCCGCGCGGCGCCTGCACTTACCTGCTATGGTGAATGAGCTGCGTGGAGACTCATGGGAGGGGTGAGCGGGGCGGGGCCAGCCTGTCCTTCCAACTACCAGTTTGGTGAACCAGATGCAAAATTAGCAAACGGTTCGCCCGAACTGGCTGAATCTCACCCTCGATTGACTTGATTTTATTCTTATTGTCGTTGGCCACGCTTCTATCAAAATTAATCTAACTTTTGTATTTGTTGAATTGTCCCACGGAGAGTTGTTCTACAATGTCTTGGCCGTGGCTAGTTGTCTGTCGTCGTCCCCCCTTCCGCTCGAGGGTTGGCGCACCCTCGCCGCGGTCTCTTGTCCTGTGCGGCGCGGCGTCGAGAAACAGCGTTTTGAGCAGGATTGACTGGGGGGAAAGGGCACACCCCACACTTCCACCTCTGATTTGTCCCCCCTACCCCTTTTTAATCCTCTTTCTCTTTCTCTCCCCTCCCCCAAATACAGATCATTTTAACCCCGAGATGCCCAAATTGGAGAAGAGCATCAGCGGGACGAGTCCAAAATGGGAACATTTGCCTTTAGCCCTGGCAGTGGCTTTCTTCCTTATGATTCTCCTGGCCTCCTAGCTGTGTGGATTGAGAGGGGGAGGGGGCCCAGCAGTAGCCCCCTCCCCACAAGGGCCTGGTTTCCTCCCCAAGGTCTCCTTGGCTGTTGGTTGGCGGACAGAGAGAAACAAACGGAAAGCATATTCACCGGGAAATTTCAGCGAGAGACACACTTGACGCGACTGGGTGGGAAGTGGGTGGCCGAAGAGAACAGCGAGATTTCATGGGCCTAAGTCTCCTCCGTCCGGATATCGTGATCCTTTGCTTCGGCATCTTCTCCGCTTTCTACCACGGCGCCGAAGAACCACCCTGCTTTGAAAGGGCAGGGTCCAAAAAAATAAAATGGGGGTCTTCTTTCCTTTCCCCCCCCTTTTTTTAAAAAAAATAATCATTCTGCTATTCCCGAGCGCGACAACTTTATATCGCCGTGCTCGTATCCCTATCGTTCTCTCGTCTCTCGCCCGTACGAGCGGACAAAACGGGTGGACGTATCCGCAAAAAATCGTCCTCCTAAGGATTTGGGGAGCGTTTGTTATTACACCTGGGAAATTTGGAGGGTGGGGCGGCCCAGGAGTGGAAACCCCGCTTGGTGAGGGGGGCATTGCCAGCCCCACGGAGCTTTCGACATCCGAAATTTTGGGTGGGAGTCCGCGTCTTCGAGCCCCGCGTTGGACAACCCGATATGTTTTTTTTTTTTTTTCGGATGGGGGGAATCCTGTACATATCTCGTGTGTGTTCTGTACAGAGAGGCACCCTTATTATCCCGTGTCTATAGATTATATGAAAATTGTTCTCGTAAGGGGGGGGGGGGTTGGCGGGGGACGGGCACCGGCCTGCCTGTTGAAGCCAGAGTCTTCTTTTTTTTTCTCTTTTTTGGGGGGTGGGTGGGGGGGCAGCTCTTCCTCTCTGTCTTCTGTGAAGACCAAACCTATGCAAACAGCACTGTCACTTTTTATTTTCCTTTCGGGGGGTGGGGTGGGGAGGGGGGGGCGCGTCAGTGGTAAAAGGGCCGGCCAAATCCATGCGATGAAAAGAAGAAGATGATGATGATACGGGACGGGAAAAAAAGACGATTTCTCTGCGTTGTACCTGTGTGGGTTGATTTTACAGTGTCTTATTTTCGGTTTTTTTCCTTCTTCTTAAACGTTTTGGGTTTGGGATTGGATTATTATTAATTTTTTTTGCAGGTTTCTTCCCCCTAAAGAACTTTGGCTTGTGGTTTTCATATACTTCCTCTTAGTCTATTAAAAAAAAATTGAAATAAAAGACGAAGAAAAGAGAGAGAGAAAAAAAAATATACGGCGGAGTGGTGCCTCCTTTTCTTTCCATCCTGGGGGTCTCCGGTTGATTAGTTATATAGATCATTGGCTGGTGGGGAGGGGGGGATTGAGGATTTGGGGAGGAGGGCGGGGGTATTTTCATTGACGACTGCCTCGTTTTCTTCTTTCCTTTTTCCTCCCTCCTCTTCCGGTTCCTTCTCTCCTTCTTTTTCTCCTTTTCCTTCCCTTTCTCCCTTCCGTCTTCCTCTTTCGTTCCTCCCCCTTCTTGTTTCTCTTCCTCCCTTCTTCTTCTGTATCCTTCACTTCTTCTTCTAACTGTTCCTCTCCTTTCTTTCATTCTTCCCCTTCTCATCCTTCTCGTCTTCCTTTCCTTCTTTCCCTTCTTTCTTTCCTTCCCCTTCTATCCCTCCTTCTTCTATTTCCACCTCTCCCTTTTCTTCTTAGTCTCATTCCTTCCCCAGCTTTCATCCCCTTTTGGGTGGGAAAATGGAAAAGAGGGTGTTGGGGTTTTTTTATTATGAATATCTCATTCTCTTCTCCTTCCTCCTCCTTTTTCAGTTCTTCCTCTCTCCTTTTTTCTTCCTCTTCTTCCTCCCATTCCTCCCCATTCTTTCATCCCTCCCACTTCTTCCTCTCATTCCTCTCCCTTTTTATTCCTTCCCCTTCTTCTCTTTCCCCTTCCTCTTCTTTCATTCCTCCTCCTTTTTTCATCCCTCCCACTTTTTCCTCTCATTCCTCTCCCTTTTTATTCCTTCCCCTTCTTCTCTTTCCCCTTCCCCCTCTTCTTCTCCCCGCTGGAGCCCTGGAAAAGGGACGAGCTCCCTCCAAAGTCCATTTCTCCGACTCCCAGAATAGATAAACCTTCCTTATTAGGTCAAAAAAAAAACAACCCACGGCCTCCCCCAGTTAGGTTGGCCACATCGGCGGTGCCAACATGAATTATTAAACTCCGTTGGGCACGTTTGATCCGGATTCGTTCCGGTCCAGGGTTCGGGATGAGGGCCGAGCTGGTTTTCATCGCCTTTTAACTGGATGGAAAATGAAATGCCGTTTAGCTGGTGTAATCCGATTATGTCCCGGGCGCTGAATAAATTTGCTTTTTGGGGGGCAGGGGGGGCGAACAGAACAAAGTACAAGGCCAGCTCTTTTAACGAGGGTTTTGATGCCCTGTGGCAGGAACCGGTCTGAAAATCCCTGCTAGGTCTGATTACGCGGCGCTTAATTGGAAGGAGCGTGTCAAAAACCCGGCCGCAAATTTAAATTCTCTTTTCCCAGTTCCGTTGACCGCTAATCCTCGACTTAACAACGATCTGCTTAATGACCAAAGTTACAACAGCACTGGGAGGGGGGGAAGGGACTAAGTGTTTTTCACAGAGCTGGGGAGGAGGTTGGGGAGGAAGATGGGCCAGTCCTGGAGTCTGGGGAAGGCTCGGATGAGGGCTCTGTGTCGGAGGCAGAGAGGGGGCCGAGGCCGTCTGACGGTTATCAGCTGCCTTCGGAGTCGGACATCAGTGAGGCAGAAGAACAGCTGGAGCCTGTTCCCGGTGTGAGCTGCCAGAAGGAAAGAACAGCTAAGAAATCAGGGTCGACTTGGGAGTAAAATCACAGGTGGACGATGAATGGCCCCTCCCAGAGGACGTAAAAGAGGAGCGAAAGGGGAGGGGGCTTTTGCAGGAAACAAATCCGGTCATTAGATTCATTTCAGGAGTATGAAGATCTGTCCGTGAATCTCAGAGACTCTGTGCCCAGAATCTTTCCTTGCACAGCACCTCCATTTGGGAAAATAGCAATAGTTAGACTTATATACCGCTTCATAGGGCTTTCAGCCCTCCCTAAGTGGTTTACAGAGTCAGCATATCGCCCCCAACAACAATCCGGGTCCTCATTTTACCCACCTCGGAAGGATGTTAGGCGGAGTCAACCCTGAGCCTGTGATATTTGAACAGCCGAACTGCTGAACTGCAGTCA